AATAAATAAAATTAAAAAAAAAAGTTCTAGCAAAGCACATTTAAAAGATCATATGCAATCAATTACTCTTCTTGCTGCACGTATGCAAATAATCAAGTCAACTGTTAATTATTTTCTTAATCTGGCTACCTCTAATAAAAATGAGAGTGATTTTAGAGAAAAGTATTGTTTCAATAATTCAGTCTTATCTATACTAAATCCTAATACTAGTCATTGAGATGTAAACTCGATCCAGAATTCTAGTTTCCCCATGATACCTGGCTATGATTCTCCATTAGACTCCTCACATTTCTAGTTCTCATATTCAGCCATGCATTCTTAATCTCATCAAGTTTGTCCCTCCAGAATAGAAAATCCAACTCCAGATGTTGCTACTTAACCTAATAACACGATTTGTTCTATCTTGCTTAGAAGCCATAAAACTGCAAATAGTAATAGTAATAGAAATGGAACCCAGAATAGAAGCACCAATCTTCTGAGGCCCTCTCAACTGACCAGTGATGGAGACCTAACTGCACCCTGTACTGTGCCAACTCTCAGCATGAAACAGCCAGAGTGGTCATTGCATGCTTTCCCTAGCAGCAACTAGGGTTTCTATCTGTAGAGGGGTGAATGAGACAGAGACCATAGGATTCGACAGAATAAGGTGAGAGCCTCTGGAAAAAGCAAGCAGAATATTTGCAGTCATAGCAATGTAACTACATTCTAGGAAACCCCCCTACTAAAACTATGTTGAACATTAAGCTGTAGAATCATTCTTCAGTGAGATCAGTTAATGTTCTCCAGATAAAGAAGAGTAGCACATGTTTTATAATGCTAATAAATTATTAAACTTTCTGTCAGAATACAGCTATTGGGTCTCACCCTCCAAAGTTCAGCTGTCTGCCACTCAGGTCACATACCTGGGAGTTCAGCTCTCCCCGGGCTACAAGGCCATAACCATAGACAGGAAAAAACTTCTCCAAACATGCCCATTCCAAACAACAAAGACACCATCCCTAACTCCCAAATGGCAAGGACCATACACAGAATCCTTTCCACGCCAACTGCAGTTAAACTCCAGGGTCTTCCCATTGGTTGCACAACTCCCACCTTAAGCCGTTTGTCTCACCTTATTCCCCTCCCACCAAATCTCCCGCAGGTTCCTACTCCTCCACCCTGACCGGACATGTTACCTTCCATATTTCACGATGCTCATCTCCATTTCCACTCATAACTGAAGAAGTTTCTGCCAGCATGGAGTCCTAAGACCTCCCTTACAACCACCATGCATCATGCTTCAGGATAGTTAACACTGGTCTCAACACTTATTCTCTCACCAGACCTATCTCCCCCAATACCAGCCCTTTCTTCTCTTTCAGACTGTCCAAAAGATTGGACCATCAAAGATTCCCTTTGCCCTACAAGTTGCTTTTCTGCCTACACTGATGTCCCCAAAGAATGCTATAATTCAGCCACCCTATGTAAACATGGCAATCAGCCCAAATGCAAAAAGTTTCTAACCAGACATTTAACCAGCTTATATTACAGGATTACCAACCCCTCTCCAAAGACGATGATCCTTCTTAAACCTGGAACACGCCATCACCACTTCAGACCAAGGGCTCATCCAAGGACCACCCCCCCCATCAATACAAAAATGAACTTCAATGCCCCTAATCAGCAGGAAGCAGTTACTGAAGACTGACCTCCACCCCTTCCCAAGTCCTCTATCACTTATAAAACAGAAAAGGGAAGAATATAAGAATATAGTAATTTATCTTCTACTTACCCCATGGTCCCAAGCACATAAGCCAGTGAAAATCATGCCTGGACTTGCCTAGGACTTGCCTGGACTTGCCTCACCTTATTTCTAAACACTCCAACCCGCCCCCAAGGCAACAGGCCAAGCAGTACTTTTCCATTCCCTCCCTACAAAAGACACAACATTCTGCACCACGCTGCTGCTCTCTCTCTCTCTAGGGGCAGCCACTTTCTCTTTCAGATAATAAAATCTCTTGGGTGGGCCTGTGTCTCCTGAGTCATTCTGGGTAAGGAGGGTCACAGCGAGATATCCTTTCACATACAATCTTCCAAAATAAATCATAAAGAAATAGAAAGTTAAATACTGATTACTAGTAAGGAGATTGAATCAGTAATCAAAAACCTTCCAACAATGTAAACTACTTCAACCATTGTGGAAAGCAGTATGGAGGTTCCTAAAAAACTCAAAATAGAAATTCCATTTGACCCAGGAATTCCACTCTTAGGAATTTGCCCTAAGAATGCAGGAGCCCAGGTTGAAAAAGACATATGCACCCCTATGTTTATAGGAGCACTAATTACAATAGCCAAGAAATGGAAGCAACCTTAGTGTCCATCAGTAGATGAATGGATAAAGATGTGGTATATATACACAATGGAATATTATTCAGCCATAAGAAGAAAACAAATCCTATCATTTGCAACAACGTGTATGGAGCTAGAGGGTACTATGCTCAGTGAAATGAGCCAGACAAAGACAAGTATCAAATGATTTCACTCTTCTGTGAAGTATAACAACAAAGTAAAAAGTGAAGGAACAAAACAGTCACAGACTCACAGAACCCAAGAATGGACTAACAGTTACCAAAGGGAAAGGGACTAGGGAGGATTGGTGGGAAAGGAGGGATAAGGGGGAAAGGGGGCATTACGATTAGCACATATAATGTAGTGAGGGGGGAACACCAGAAAGGCAGTATACACAGAGAAGACAAGTAATGATTCTATATCATCTTACTACGCTGATGGACAGTGACTGTAATGGGGTATGTGGTGGGGACTTGATAATAGGGGGAGTCCAGTAACCATGTTGTTCAAGTAATTGTACATTAATGATACTGATGCAGGGGTTCTTGTTCACGAAGCCAAAGAATGAGCTTCACAAACACTTGAGGTAGGAGAGGAAGGTACAGGCTTTTATTTAGAAATAAAGTGAGAGAATAGAGCTCCTGGCTCATGCCAGGAGGGGAAAAGAGAGCCCGTAGTGGTGCACTGTCTAGGGATTTTTATAGGCAGTTGAGGATTTTTCGAGAACGTTAAAACACGTAGGGGTGTGGACTTGTTAAGTGGTCCCTGAATATTAAAAATTAACTTAACATAAGGAATTTCCTGCCTTGATTTCTCTCCGGGACACTGGTGCCTTGGTCTGGGAGCACATCAAAAGCCCAAGGTGGGCTAAGGTATTGTCTATTTGCTAAAGAATCCTGCCTCTTGCACTTCCTGGGTATTAAAATGCAATCTTATCTTTAAGATGGAGTTCTACCTTCCTTTTACCATGTTGTCTACAGCTGGGTCTGCATGCTAAGTTAGTTGTTCAGTTTGCAAAATCACCTCATCAGATCTTAAGGAGAAAAGACAGCACATATGTTAAAGTGACTCTTACACATGGTTACAAATGATTAGCATAATAAAACACATGCTACTTGTAAGGCTGGAAGCACTGGAGAGAGAAGGGCGAGGACAATGCAGGCAGAGCAGAGACAGCACCAAGTAGCTCTGTGCAGGATGGGGTAGGAACAAACAGCTCTTCTTGGATTCCAGTCCCACGATGTGCAGACAAACCCCGGATGCAGACCCCGCCCATCCAGAAGGAGAAGACCTCTGGCTGTCCATCACCCGACCCTGAGCCAATAAAAAATTCCCCACATACCCCTAGTGCAGCCCACTCCCCCCTCCCTTCCCTGTTCTCTTAAAAACTCCCTGCCTCCCCTCCTGGGTGTGACTTCCCCAGCCTGTGTTTCAGACTGGTGAACCCCACCCAGGAATTGCACTCAAATAAACTGCCTGGCCCTTTGTTGCATCTCATCGCCTTCTTATTTCAGCTAGAATTTATCTTACATTCGGTGCTGAAAAAACCCGGGAAGGAGCGTGAGCATAGGGCCCCAACCAGCCCCTGGTGACCCTGCTCCCTCCTTCCATGAACCAGGACCTCAGCCTGCTCTCCCCTGCATGGACTATTTTCCAGTGAGTCCCTCAGTTTCCCCTGGTCTGTTTCCCTTCCTAACTCCATTTCGCCTGGTCCATCCAAAATCATAGCTATGTCCAGGTTTGTGCTACATGCACTGTGGGCATCCAGGATACCCACCCCTGGCCCTGTGGAGTGGGAGACGTCCCTCACCCAGGCCATCTCCCCTGACTTGGCACGCTTGGGACACTGGGTGCTCCTCTCAGCAGGATTAGTTGGGAAGTGGTGCAGACATAGGGAACCAGCCCTCGAAAGTAGAGGCTCAGACCCTGCTGTGGTGTCTCATTTCTAATTTGGCTACTCTATATTTGTCCTGGGAAGTTTGCAAATGGAAGCTAGTCTTTCTTTGCTCTGAGGCCGTGCCATAGTATCCCTTGGACAATCAATCTCACTGGGCCCCTGAGGGAACTCTCAATTTTGGCCTCCTCACCAACTTGACTAATTATTGCCACTGGAGCAGAGAGTGGGGTGAAATCCCATATGTGCAGGCTTTTTGGACTTTGCACTCCTACCCAAACCTTTATGTTAAGTGTTCAATGACCTAGGTTCTCCTGGCCCAATCTCCAGTTAAAGATTGTCAGCCTCTTACTCTGCCCAGTCCTTCCTTTTCAGATCTGCCTGAGGACCTTAGTCTCCCACCTCTCTCAGCTCACTACCCCCACCCCTCTCCGCCACCATCTTTAAGTTCTTTATCCTCCCCCATATTGCTGCCATCTTAAAGTCCTACATTTTCAACCATGCCACCATCCTGCTCCTCTCCTCTTCCAGTGGCTGTACCACCCTCTCCCCATCTCCTTCCACCTTCACCGCCCTCTTCCCCCACTGGAACATGCTCCTCCCACCCTCCGGTTCTGGAAGCCATGGACAAGAAACTAAAAAGAAAGAAAGCAATTAAATATCAGTAACTCAAATCTTTATATTAGTTTGTTTGTCTGTGTACATGTTTTTATATGAAAAATGTTGCTAACTGTAGTCATTATGTCTCAATTTGTATGTTTGTGTGTCTAAGTGTGTAAATGAAAAATATTTTCCTACATCCGGATGGTATTAATAAAAATTGATTTAAAAACAAGTGCTTGTGAAAATTGGGCATCCTAAAACTTCCAGAAAATCTAATAAAAAATATTAAGCATTAATGCTAATTTAAGTTTAACTGAAATGAACATGTCCTTATAGTTATCAGCTGCCAAAGTTTACTTAAAGTCATTTAAGTTGATGTTATCTGTTAAACATTTCAAGAATGTGCTTAAAGAAAAGCTTGACTTTGTCTAATGTTTGGTAAAAGTTTTGTAAGTAATCTAGCATGGTTGCTAAAAATAAGTAAGCAAGTGTAGCAAATAAACATCTTATTAATGATACTGTATTAATGTATAACAGTGTATATATATGCAAACAGCCTGAGAATTTTTATGGTAACCAAAATTCTTAAAGCTTGCTATATTATATAGACATATTTTGTGCCTGAGAAATTGTGCTGTAAAGCACATTTCCAAAAATTATAATATATGTTCATAGATGTATCAATCTGAAGAATGCTAGTGTAACAGTTTACAGTGACATATTTTTCAGTGTTCACTGAAGGTTAAAGTAATGGTTTTAAGTTCTAATGAAAACTACTTAATATAATAAGGAAAATATTTCTGTATGCTAAAGATGTGTGTTTTAATAAGAGAAAGTATAAAGAATGGAAATTCGTTTTGTTGAGGGTAAAAGAAGGTAATTGTTCTAAAGTAAAGCTATTTATTTAAAGGGGAAGAACACTGAATGTAAAGAAAAAGTTGTAGAAAGCTTGTGGAAAAATTGATATAGTCATGCTATGTGAAATTAAAGCAAGTGAGCCTTGATATCAAGTACACAGCAAAGTTCGAATTTTGTTTTCAGTTAAAAAGACAAAGTTTTCTTAAACTGGTAGTCTGCTCTTAATGTTGAAAGATTACAAAAGGCTTTCTAATTGTTTTACCAAAATAGTTTCTCATGCTTAAAATCTCAATGAATTGTCTGAGTATTTAAGAAAATGAGATTCTAATATCAAAGGACTAAATGTTAAACTTTGCTAATAACTGTGTAACCTTCTGTATCTGCCTTTAAAATCTTTTATTGTCATTCTGGTTAAATGGATAAGTATTTCTTCATGGTAACCTATAATCCTATTTAAGCAAATGCCAAAGAAACTTTCTTTTGACAACTTTCCAAAATCAAATTCAAAAAAGTGCTTTTACCTCTCATTAACTCTGATATTTTCCAGAGAGCCCCTGGAACATGTCAGAAGAATTTTTTCTCCTCATTGGGAAAAATATTTGGCTAAATTGGCTTATTTATCTTATATATATTTACCTAGAAAGAACTGTCAAAAGGAATGATGCTAAACTTTGTTACTGAATGTTTTCTGTTACAGAAGTATCCAAATTTCCTTATGACAACTGTCTTACCAGTAAGCTCTCATCAGATCTTTAACCATTGTCATTTGTCTTTTGTCATCTATACTCACTGTTTTATTACTCCTAAACTAGTGAAAAACTAGATTTCAGCAGAACAGGTGTTAGTTACATAGGATTAAGTAAACTAAGGAAGATGATTTTGTAGCTTTTTCTTTCAAATGTTGTTCATAAAGTGTTTTAAGCTTTTTCTCTTAAGCTAACAACAGTTTAGTAAATGACTGCCTTTATAAGCAGAATTGAAACTTTATCTTTTTCTCTACCTGATCCCTCCAGAATTTAAAAACTCTCAGCAACTATTTTTATATTTCATGGCAGTACGTTTATTTGCACAAGTTCAATAAGAATCAGCTTTCCTTGTAAGAAGATCAATTAAAAACACTGGTTATATTACCAAGGTTTTGACTGGAATGTCATA